TACTTAAAGAAACAGGAACTTTGAAATACAATCCTCTGGCTAGAGTACTTCCTGCCTGTATTCTTGGCCTTTCTGTCCTTTGGTAATTGTAGCTGGAAGGACTAATGTAGCTCTTTGAAAAAGATCCAGCATCTTACCTGTAACCTACTACGTCTTGGCATGTGAACAAACTGTTGGGTCTGTTTAAGACTTACAGAACTGGTCCTGTGCTATTTCTGTCAATGGGTAGCTTTGGTATCACAAAGTTAGTCATATATAACTCTGACTAAGTTTGACCACTAACGTGATTAGGCAGCAGGGAGAAGGTTAAGTATTGCATGTTTTCTCTTTTTGTTTGTCTTAAAGAACAACTGAAATATACAAGAAAAGATATTTATTCATTGCAAGGTCTTTTGTTAAAGTTTAAGTGGTAACACTATGGATATCTTATTACAAAAGGATACATGAGCTATTGTTGTTGTGAGCATGCATGTTCCAGCAGAATGAAATGTATTTGGTAACAAGAATAAAGTACTGTTTCCTTGACTGATTCAGTGTCACATCTGGCCTTTGTTAAATGCCAATCCCATTTGTCTTGTCAACAACTCCATTCTATACTTTCAATTTAAAGCTTAGCATTGTATAAATGTCACACTGTGTTGAGATTTATCGTAGGTCACTGTTGTGTGCGCCTAATGGTATATTCATTACCGCAATCTCTTCTTCTTGCATGAAAGCTGGCAGCCATGGCGGTTATCTACTCATGACAGCCACGGTATCTAAAAAAAAGAAACAATTGTTGAGAAAGAATGTGATTAATCTCGACAACTTTGGCTATTGCAATTGTCTATAGAATGGTAAAGGTCATAATAAGGTGCCTATTCATCTCAGTACTGTCAAAACGACATATTCACACCACTGCCCACATGAAAATCACTGAAAGTTATATCGCAAAAGGTCTGCCTCAAAGTATGCATGATATACTCTAACCCCAGGCAATGGCAAGCCAGTCAGTTTGGCTGCTCATCACATCTACCAAAGGTCCTACAGAAGTTGAGTTTCCTGCCATATCTCGTTACCTGTCAGGTGTCCATTGATAAAACATAACTCTTCCTGACTGGAGGTAAAGCTGCCTGTTTGTGTGTGTCAGACAGTTAATGAATCAAGCAGAAGGGAGATGTGTCAAAAAAAGTCATGCTGTCAAAGTTTGTGCACATTCATGGAAACTGATTACTCAGACCAAAAAACATTATTTTCATTGCTAATGCTCCATACGAATACACTTTTATCAATGTCTATATGCTTGTATATCAATTAGCTTCCTTTCAACTGCATCATTGTCACCTATCTTACCAGTACCATTGGTCTCTGCTGTGGAATATTTTTATAAAACATATTGTCAATATCCCCCACTTCGCTATGTTACAACACAGTAACAGAGCATTTTATCAATGTAGAGTAGACAAGCAATCAACCAGAAGGAAATGCACATGTATAAAAGCTGCATATTGCAAACTTTGTACTGATTCATATCTAAGAACAGTATGATAGGCATTTTCTCTGCGGGGATATATGGTCCTGTCCTTGGTGCTGATGACAGTGATGCATTGTTACTGCTAGAGATTTTGTCTATCGTAACTATTTGTAATGGTAGTTTGCAAGCTGTTGCTGTTAGCAGGCTAAATGTTGGTTCCTAATGTTTGTTGCATTGATATTTTTGCCATGGTTACATAATTTACCCTTGCTTCATCTCATACTAGTACTCAGTTTTTGTTTTTTTCATGATGACGGCTGTGGCTGACTGAATCAGATGTTGGGTTACTGAGCACAAACTTCATTTCTTAATCCTCTTGGGTACATGCTGTGCAGATCCTGGGTCAAACTCTTCATACACCATTGCCTAAGTTCACCCAGCTATGAACAGGGACTAGGTAGGATTGGTTTCAACTGAATGGTTCAGAGACTACCATCCGGCTTGAGCCCTATTGCCATTTCTGCTACCAAATATGGTAAAGATTTTGTCCGGGTTACAAAGGTGTTTTTCTGAAGCTCAAGAGTGGCTTTTGACTTTTGGTAACAACATCTGTACATTGAATATCATATTTTGTCCATAAATGTATACGGTAACAATAGATAGTACGGAACTGCATAGCTGATTCCTATAATTCAGTCACACGGGGACTTATCATAACAATATGAAAAAAGTTTGAATATAAGATATCAAATGAACAGCAAGAATAAGACAAACCAAACCTTTTCGTTATAGCTGCATATATTACTGAAGTAAATTGACTGTTAAAAATGCACTACAGCAGAAAATGACTGCCAGTATTGCACTTAATACACTGCTCCAGTACCTGATATATATTGCCTTTTATCTGCAAGCCTTGTGTATCCATTTGTGGCTGATGGTGACAATTTTTCTTTATCCACATAGGCTTTTAGTGCTCTAGGTCTATTCTAGCACAATCAAAGGTATTACTCAGATCTGTGCACAACAGTAACACATTGTTTTTCCAAACAATGGCTGCAAAAAATTCTGTGCATCAATTTAATAAAATTGATTGTTGAAAATGGTGAAAATGGAACATGGCAAATGACAGTCTAAGCTGAAATGCATCAGGGTTTGTGTTGGATTCTGAAAATCACTGGATCTTAGACTAGTTTCATGACCAAATTTACAAAAGAACTAATAGGATGTAGGGGCACTTGTCAGAATTTGAAAACCTCATTCTATTCCTGAGCTTTAAAGTAATTTCCTCACAGGACAATTCTTGGAATCGTGCAGGCTCAATCATGACAGGAAAATGCTGAGCAGTTTCAGCAAAGTACCAATCTCGCAGTAAGCAAAGCACTTATGTATCAAGACTACATTTGCAGAAGGAACTGACTTCCTGCAGATGTGGCTGTCGAATTTTGGGAAACCCCGCCCACTCAGAGCTTGGACTCATTTTCCATCAACCCACATAATTCTGCCAGAAACAGTAAGACCCTGAATATCTGAAGTGTACATACATTTGTACCTTGGTTTTTGGTGCTGCCGCATCAGTAGACCTCTTTGATGTCACATTTTTAATGTGGGCTTAGGGTATCCAGTAGAATTATGATCATGAGAGTTGACGTTAGCCATGCTGAAGCAGCAATGGGGTAATTTTCACCTCATGCTAAAACTAATTTGTTCTGTAGTTAAAATGGCCTCTGAGATTCAAGGCTGTTTTCTATGTCTCGGAGGGCAAAAGACTGAATATCACTGAGAGCAAAATATTGCAGTGTAACAGGGTCAGGTTATTGGAGAGAAGTGATTAGAGGTGTGCACATATTGCTTTTGAACTTAAGGGTTAAGGTGATTTGTCAGATTCCAGCCTTTACAAGAATTCTACATATTAAGTGGGTCATATGAAAATATCTACGTAAAAATGATTTTATTTGTACCATAAAGCTTACTATGATGTTTTGTTAGACAGATTATTTTCAAGAAGTAACTATCCGTAATCTATCCTTCACCACTTCTTGCATGTCGATTCAAGATGAATTATTCTGTAATACCAAAAATTTTATACATTTTCCCTTCTGGAGATTCAAACATGTGCACCAGTTTTATGGGAAAAAGATGGCAATATAAAATTCCGTCCTACCAAAGAGATTCCTTGCTGATATGCACAGTGGGTTTGCAGTTAAAGTTTTATCCTTCCTGGAAGTATTTAGATTCTGCTGGAAAGATGTATACTACAACCATAAATGCCATGCGTTATACCAAACCATTCCATATACGTGCAGGAGGCCATCACACAGGCCATGCCACTACCAAAGCATGGCCATTAACTAAGCATGGAATCGGTAAAAGGCCAGCACATGAACACTGTAACGGTTGGAAAGGCATGGAAAATCTGCCCTAAAAGCATTCTTGGCACACCGCTTAATAACATACAGATCCTCGGTGGCCCTAACTGTGCCGGGAAGTTTATCCCCCAATCAGCTGAGTGCAGCATGCAGCAACGGAATAAACTTCAGATCACACCATCTTAAGTTTACAATTTCCTCCAAAGGGTTCACAAGGTCACAGATGTGGAAGGAATATAACATTGGGTGGAGACGCACTAATATGGACTTGAAGGCAGCCTCAAAGCCCATTTTCAGACATTAGTTTGCAGAGCAGCATCTGCTTATTTGCCCAGAAATGGCAAGGAAGTTTTTGGTTTATTTCTTCATCCAATAAACGGAAGCACTCAGAAAAGGGGAAGCAAGGTCATTTGCACTCAGAACATATAGAACATTTTATGTTGATATGGACTAATGGCTGACTGCGAATAACTGTCATGGCACTCGGAGCAAGATTTATAGTAGGATGTGACAAAATTGCTACCCCAATTTTACATGACATGTGAAAGTGAGAAAACCGTGGGAGGATGGTGTCAGGCAACACAGCATGAAGACTGATACATGTGTCTGCCAGCCTGCAATGGTACCCTGGAGGAACATTCATCATATGGCCTTCCTATGGACCAAGTGCTTCCTCTAAATCATCAGACAAGACTTTGTGACACTGTACTATATAATCATAAATCTTAGTGTATTGTGGTATAATTCTTATGTTATAGATATCTATTCATCTTTTTCTATTAGTATATGATTCGTGATTTGGATAGCTAAGAGATAACAGACATCTCAGTGACATATCAGTGTCCTAGTGACAGTTGTATACTAGATAATGAAGAAACTTATTGCACATTGAATAACAGTAAAGATATTCTATTTATAATTGTACTTGTTGAGGCCTCATCATTAGTTACATTTACAGTAACTGTATTTATTTATTTACTCATTACTCTATTTATTTACTCTATTTTTAATTACTCTATACTAATACAGTAATTTATAACTTGAAAACAATATGTTGATATTTGTTATTTAAGCTCTTGATCTAATTATAATGCAAAAGATATAATGAGCAACCCATTGTTTAAACAAGAGCATTATATCACAATTGACATTGCTTTGGGACACCTTGTGTTTTCCTACAGAACTGCAGAATATAACAGGAGGAGGAAAAGATGAAGAAGGAGATGGAGAGAAGAAGGAACTGACTGAGGACGGACAGGACCCAGAGGTGGCCGAGGCCCTGAGGCAACAGGAGGAGGCCAGGAAGGAGAAACATCGTAAAATGGAAGAGGAACGGGAGAAGGTCAGGTCAACAATCAGGGACAAGGTGAGACCTGGGCAATCTTTGTACGCTCACGGGAAAGATTTAGGCAGAGATGCAATCATAATCTAGGCACACCTTGGTACTGTAGAATATCTGGTGCATTTACTTTGTGGTCACCGTGGTTTTTCTTAACAGTATGAGGTTTTTGCAGTACCCCAAACATCTTTAAGTTAGAATTAACAGTATGTGCGGTATGTGTCAGTCTCCAAACAGATGTTAGGTCAATGGGCAAAATTAAGGAATGCTATATCAGAGAAAATAGTTACTCAGGAACAGCTGTCATAGACAACACAGCAGTTTTGTTTCACTTTCCCTTGTAGTCTTGAAAGGACATACTAAATGAGGTAAAAGCATGGCTAACCAAGTCCATGAGCGTCAACGTCATGGGAAGGCCTAAAAGCCTCCTGGCCTTACTTCACCCACACAGCTGCACTACATGTATATATACACACATGCCTATCTGATAATTGCTTCATGCTAAAAGGGGTGAACTCATATTGTCTTGCAAAAGTGACCTTCACTTAGCCTCTTCCATTTCCCTCCTGTAGCCCAGGGCTGGGCCTGCTGATTGCCAGGTACAATCTGGGCCCTTCCCTGTCATAAAGGTTGACTTTGTGGTCATTCAGGGCAGTCTCTCTGGCCGGCAGGATGAGCCTACGGGGAGAGAAAAAATTTAACAGCTAAGTGGAGGTCATTGCAAAGACTTTGATGGTGACCTAGGCCATTGAAGGGTCGGTATATAAGTGCTGAAGGGCACAACACATAATTTGTGTGTTTTAGGGATTTTAGCATTATTGCAGCAATGATGTTGATAGGGGATTTCAAAGGTGGGCGGCATTTTCAGAATTGCAC